TTAATTTCGAAACAAAGTTAATTTAAACTTTTCATAATATCTCACATGTATTAAATATACATACTATACATATGTTGTGGAAATATTTATTTAATGGCGCAGTGAAAGTCGGAAAATAAAATGTATTGATTTTCGATGAAGTTTTGTTCTTGTATAAACAACACGGAAATGTTAAATTATTTCGTAACACGCGTTCCACTGGTTTATCGCTTTGCAATAGGTTGTTAATAGAAATTATGTAATTATTATTTTCCATTTTTAAATTTATACAAACCAGGGAAATCATAGTCTGAAGTGTAAGTGTCAAGCACTTATAGTCATTAAGTAGGACTCTTTAACTGGTATTTTATTAATTGTAAACGAATAATAATATTATACTCAGAAACGGTCGTTGCATACTAAGAATATTTTATTATATTAAACTAAATTATAGTTATTTATATTTATACTAGTAATAGGAGAGGTGTAACTAATGATTAACAAAAACAAAATTGCATATACCTAAGTATTCTACAATGATTATTTCAACACATTATTGTATCATAAAATATTACTAGGTAGCTCTACAGACGCGCCGGTGAGGTATAGAACGAAGTGAATAGATTCATGGTACAAATAGCTTAATGAAAACTAAATATTTTTAAAAATGTGTATTGTAAACAATAATATAGGTTCCTAATAGCAAAAAGTGCCCTTATAAATTCCGTGATGTTGAATTAAAACAAAATAATTAAAATCGTTATTCTTTGATAAAATATGAAATTTTATTAAAATTCAAAATTCAAATGCTTTTAAAATAAACTGCGTCAATATTGTATATTATTAAAATTTTATGAATACAATTTATAAAGCACCTATATTATTTTAAAAAGCTTTTTGACTGAGAAACAAAATTTTTACCAGTAATTTTAGAAAAAAAATTTCGTTAACTTAAAACATCTATGAACTGCCTAAAACGAAACTAAACATTTAATGCTTAGTGATTATAAAAAAAATTATAATTCAATAATTTATAAAATGTTTTATGTTTCTAAGATTAATATATTTTTTTAAAATTAATAGAATCGTATGATGGTAACACATTGTTGAATATTTAATGTCATCAAATTCGTTTTTTTTTTTCATTTTTGTTCAAACGTTATTAAAGAAGCTTATTAATTAAATCTTAAAGTTTTTGGTGTTAAAATAACAATTTGTTTCAATTTTAAAATGTTTATTAGAAAAAATTAGCAATTCGTTTATAAGTCAAAGCAGTTTAAGTGATGGTCAGGTTTAACAGAAGCAGAAAAAAACTGGAACGTGAACTTGAGGCGAAGGGATCCAGTGACTGTACTTTGTGAATCTTAATATAATTTTTATTTTTTACATAATATTTCGTGTTTTTGATAAGTATGGCAAGAATATGTTGAACATTAAATTTTTTTAAAAATAATTTTGTGTACCTATATATTTTTAACAGAATACCCTACAAGGAACTATGTATCAGTTCATTGTTAAACTTTTTTAATCACAAAAAAATTATATCATAAATTCATAAAAAAAAAAAAATTCAAATTCAAATGTCTATAAATAACACATACAGATCTAATAACACTAATATAGTTTTATTAAATATTAGGTCTGGTAGTGAATCAAATAAAAGTATATCGTGAATATTTAAAATCACTGCAACTTTTCATTTTAGAATTACAACAAATAAACTATGTTTTCGATTTTGACAAAAATTGATTTGACTGTTTATTTTGAAAAGTACTAAATTATTATTTTTGACTCTCCCCCTCCAAAAAATATAAGTATATTATATGCATTGAAGTCGGTGATTGAAGCATTTTTTCTTGTATAAAACATATACAGTTTCACACACACACACACACACACACGCACAAACTACACAAACTGTGTTACTAGTAAACATCGTAACTGACCAGGAGAATGGAGGTTGTACGGTGTTATTCAATTGAGGTTTTTATTATGTATCTATACACGATACCATATATAAAAGCATAAATGAAATTGATTAGGACCTTATTAAAGGGAACAAATTACATTGATGAAGTGCTTTTGAAAGAAGAGGGGACAAAAAAGAATAAAGGGCTAACCTGGAAAAGTATAATACAGTGATATTAAAAATGTTATTGAAAATATTGGGATGTCTGGTATATACCTAAGCAATAGAACCTTTACCAGTGTATTATGTTTTATTTAACGAAAAAACGATGATAGAGAAGATAGTATGATAATATATTGAAATAAAGCTTAAAACAGATTAATGTACTAGACATGTTCAGAAAGAATAGATGATATAATAATACAAAAATATTATTTTACAATAGTATTATATTAACCTATAGACAAATATAATATAATATTGTATTGTTTTCATTAAAAAACTTGTTGATTTCTTTTATGTGAATGTAGTGTGTATTAAAGTTAGATTCTTATGAATAAATTAATATCATTTTAAATTAACAAGTCGATTTTTATTCATTTCCCATTAAAAATAATTCAGGAACACACTATTATGGTCTATTTAACTACCTATAGTTTTTCTGCGTACAATATTTGTTAATCAATTTAGATGCGCTATAATATATTTCGTATTCTCTAAATTGGTATAGGTTATTTCAAATAACATAATATAATCCATATTGGTTTACCATAAAATACACATGTTCATAAAATATTATTATTTGTTTTGATGGACGAACAATAAAGTTTACTAGGTAATTCTAAATGTACGTAGTAATGGTTTATCGTAAAAATATACAGAAACGATTATAAATGTAGAGAAATAAGAGAAAACCATTATTAACCTATGCAAGCACAATCATTATGTTGGTATGAGAGATACATCATTGTATTTTATAATGGAGTGTACTAGACGGATTTCATATTTGGTTGTTTTGGGTATACCTTCATGTAGGTAAATTTTGAATAAAAACCGTTTTGTTAAATTAAATAATATGGTGTATAATTAAATTCATCGGTATTATTTTAAAGTATATTAAATAGATACATAAATTGGGTGGATACATCAACAAAAAAATGAACTTGTAGATTAATAATAAATAATTATCGCTTTAAAATCAAAACGCGTGACAAAAACCTAAACCTACATGTTAGTGTAAATAAACCTATTAGGTAAACTATTCTCGTATAAGAGTGTTAAAAACCGAAATGTATAAGTATAACAGTTAAAACTGATAATATAAGAGAAAATAATCTTGTTGACGTAATTTTTATTTCTTTACATTTATTTGAAATAATATGTATAACTAAAATTCATTGTGTGTTGTGCAAATGGATTTGTATATTTTAAGGGAAAAGAACCGGAAATAACATTTTACAGTAAATTATTAATATCGCGTATGAAGAACTTAACTCGGTAAACTTCATAATGAAACGTTGACCATAGCATTTAACCTATGTCGTATACGCCACGCAAAGGCTTATGACGTATATAACAGATATCTTTCGGTTTCCGATTCTCTAACCGCCCGCCAAACAAGTAAATTATCGATACCCGTTGTATGAACTTTATTTAAATTATTCTTTTGGTGACCACGATGACGAGTACTGCACAAAAGATAATTAAACGAGGTCCAAACAGGTTTTACACAATACAACTCTAAAGTTACTTTACTCTCTAACAACTGACCACGATAACGAGTACTGGATGTTTGAGAGTGAGATATCTTTAACCTAGGCAAAGTCTTACTCTTTCTCGACTGACCACGATAACGAGTACTGGACGAGAAAGTAAGTATTACAGTGTCTTA